ATAAAACAATAACAACAATAATAATAATAGCATATGCATATGTGTATGTATTATTTATCTATATAACATTTACTATGTGCCAGGCACTGTACTAAGTACCTTACAATTATTTATATAACATTCACTATGTGCCCATGGTTCTTAACTTTTTTTTTATCACGTACTCCTTTGTTAGTCTGATGAAACATAAGAATACTTAGAATAATGTTTTTAAAAGCATAAAAGACATAGGATTACAAAGGAAAACAATTATGTTGAATTATCAAAATAGATTTTCAATTATCAAACCCCAGGGTAAGAAACCATGATATGATGCCTTAAGTTTTGCAAAGCACCTTCCATATGTAACTGGGGTCTGGCACATGCCCAGAGTGCTTCAGAAGGCACCCACACAGAAGACATTAGGGAGCTACATCTGGGACAATTGTGGTGTAGGGGAAGTACCTTGGAGATGCAGGCTGCGAAGCATGCCTAGACATCCTGTAACTGACTCCAGTCAGCTAAAGAGAAGGCTCTTTGATTGACTGTAGAGTGATTCAAAACACCTAACAGATTTGATCTCCTCCTTTTTGCCTCAGTGACCTGGGAAGGGAGTGGAGCCCGTGACCTTTTGACTTAGGAAGGTCTAGAGGCCTCTTTGTCATCCTGTTGTTCCAGAGTTAGAATTTGCACAAAGCACTACATCAATGCCCTGAAGAACAAGGAGTAGTTTGGGGGAGTGACCTTCAGTATCCCAGCCCAGCAGTAGCTGATGCTCAGGCTCCTCTGGTACTTATGCTGCAAGTGGACGTGAACCTGGTGGGATCAATGCCATGCAGGAATTCAGCTCACTTTTGGGCCCAAGCCCATTCCTCTACCCCCAGACCAACATGATGTAGAAGAGATTATGCCCCAAGAGGCATTGAGGGAAATGTCTGCATGTCTGTTCTTGCTTTATCTTTGAAGTAAATATCCCTCTGCAAAATCTAATGTAGTGGTAAGTGGTTAATGGAACTAGGAGTGCTAGTCACAGTGCCCTAACAAATTAGGGGGAACACAGCTGATGGAGGCTTGAGCCAATTTAGCAGAGGAAAGAGATACCCACAAACCACTCAGGTACCCTGGCACCCTTAAAGAAAATGTGACAGATTTGCTCCTGAGTGCACCAGAATATACAATCACTACACATACATTATCTCATCTGATTGCCCAACAGCCTTGTGGTGGTATTCAATTGTTTTCTCTTCGTGACCCCATTTGGGGTTTTCCTTGGCAAAGATGCTGGAGTGGTTTGCCATTTCCTTCTCCAGCTCATTTTATAGATGACGAAACTGAGGCAAACAGGGTTAAGTGACTCGCCCAGGGTCGCATAGCTACTAAGCGTCTGAGGCCAGATTTGAACTCAGGTCCTCCTGGCTCCAGACCCAGTGCTCTATCCACTGCACCGCCTAGCTGCCCAATAATCTTGTGAGGTAGATGCTATTATTATCCCCATTTCATAGATAAAGAAACTGAAATTGAAAGACCTTAAGTAATTTGCAAGGGGTAACACAATTGAGAAGAGTCTGAGCCAGGATTTGAACGAAGGTCTTCCTGACCTTAAGTCTGACACACTATCCCACTGTGCCACCCTTTCAGCAAGGGACATCAAGTGATGGCTAAAATTTGTGGGTCTATGGAGGAAGAACTCTGCTAGCACTTCCTGGTGTGTGGAACACTGTGACTCCTGGGCAAAGAACCCTGGCTGAAAATGAGTTTGGAGCAGCCACGTTTCATAGAGAATATCTGGATGCAGAGACAGTGGAAGTTTCCTAGTCCTGCTTCCTCCTAATGTGTTCTGCTGCTCATTTCTGAAGCCTGCTGTGTGAGGCCTTACTTATCGTATTTCCCCCTGAGTTATTTTGAGCTATGAGCCTTTCAATTTTGACGCCACATCTCACAGCAATTTGGTAGAAAAATACAATTGCCACTTGTTTAAAGAAAGAGTTTCCCCCCTGCCCTCAAACTATTTGGTTTCACCTTAGAGTCCTAAGGTGTACCTTCGCAGTACCCTGCAGTTGAGCCTTCTGGGGGCTATGTTTGTGTGTACATGTATAAATAGATATTTTTTTCTTTTTTCTTTTTCATCTGGAAGAGGCTGATTTGATGTGTGAAGAGAAAACAGGTGGATGGGGTGTGTTTATCAGCTGAGGACTGATTAAAGCTCATGCCTATTCAGCCTGGGGAGAACTGGATGTGATAGGTTCAGATAACAAGTGAAACGAGCAGGACCTCACAGTTCTGAAGGGATGAGCGTTACCATGGTTATCCCATCATCCAGCCTGGCAGATTTGCTGACGTGGCTCAGGAGAAAGCCCCAGGCTAGGATAGAATGAGGAAAACCCTGCAGCCTGGCAGGGTGAAGTATCTCACAGGTTTCTCTTGGCAGGCAGGGGTGGTCCTGAGCTTCCTTAAATGGCACAGAAAGGGGAGCATCAGATCTGGAGGGAGAGGGATCTGGGTTCAGTTTTTAGTTCTGCTCCTCACCACCTGTCAGATGTGAAAGGTAGAGAAATTTTGGGTAGTACAAAGGCTGCTGAATCTGGAGTCAGGAAGACTTGGGTGCAAATTCCAACTCAGGCACTTACTAGCTATGTGACCCTGGGCAAATCACTTAACTTGTCTGCCTCAGTCTCCTTATCTGTAAATAGAGATAATAAGAGCTTATATAATAGTCACATAACATTATATTATATTATTATAACATAATACATTAATATAATAATAGTTATATAATATTATTATTCTAATGTGAGAAGCCAGGGCAACAATGGGTATAAATCATTTTGCAAACCTTAAAATACCATATAAATATTCGCTATCATTAGTAAACAGAAGATAGTAAAAAAGTACTTGTCTGCCCTTGATAAGTTCAAGCTCTCTGGCTCAACTTGAAGTATATCCTAGGGTCCCTAAAGAAATGGTGGACATGAGGATTGAGTCACTTTCAGTAATCTTTGAAAGGTCGTGGATAATGGAAGAGGTGTCACAGGACCAAGTTTGTGCAAATGTCTCAATTTTCCCAAAAAAGGTAGGGGAGGGGAAGAAGCAGGATGGAGAAGTCTTCAAACTCTAGGCATGTGAATTTGAACTTTACTTCCTGGCAAAGTTCTAGAATATGTGCTTAAGAGAACAGCCTAAGAACACCTAGAAAAGGAGTGGTAATAACAAAGAGTCAGCATGGTTTAACCAAGAATGAGTCATGCCAGACTAACCTTGCTTCCTTTTGACAAAATTATTGAACTGTTAGATCAGAGTAATGTTGCAGGCATAGCTTTCCTAGATTTTAGCAAAGCATTGGATAAAATCTCTAATGCTATGCTCTTCATCTTGAAAAATATCAGAGATGTTGGCCAGACAATAAGACACTTAGATGGATTTGGAATGGGTTTAATGACCAGACCTAAAGAGTAGTTGCTAAAGGCTCTGTGTCAGCTTTGAAGCAAGTCTCCAGTCAGAAGACCTGGGTTCAAATGGCATCTCTAACACTATTTGAGTCACTGGACCTCAGTTTTCACTGTAAAATGAGTGGCTGGACAAGATGATCCCTAAGGTCCTTCCAACTCTAGTATTTTTTATAAAAGGTATGCTTTTATGTCAATTCTTATGCTTTTTACTCTGAAAAAAACCCTGTACTCACAAACTAAGTGTACTCCGTGGTGTGAAAATGAGTGTGTGATCAAGTCTTAAAAATTTTGGGGTTTTGTTGTTGTTGTTGTTGCTGGGCAATGGGTTGCTCAGGGTCACACAGCTAGTAAGTGTTTTGTGTCTGAGTACAGATTTGAACTCAGGTCCTCCTGAATCCAGGGCTGGTGCCCTATCCACTGTGCCACCTAGCTGCCCCTAAGTCTTAAAAATTTTAACTCTAAAAAAAGTATTAAAGGATCCTCAAAACAGCCCAATGAATCCTCTAAAACCCAAACTATGTTTTAAATTAATTATTCATGTTCTATGTGCTGTGTACAAAAAGACTCCTCTATGCCCAGGTTCTAGACTGCCCTATTCCAAGCTACCTTAATCCTCTAAGCATGTCCAGCCAAGGACTGTGTAATTTCAGGGGCTCAGGAAGGCCTCATGCTCAGATAAATAAATACCTTCCACATTGATGGCCTCTGTTTAATTCACAGAATCACAAGGTTTGAGCTGGAAAACAGCTTAGAGTTCATCAAATCCAAAACCATCATTTTATAGAGTAGGGAATTAAAACCTAGGAGTTGAAGTGACTTGGCCATCATCACAGTTAACAAGTCACAGAGTTGGAACTCGAACTCAGGTCCTTTGATTCCAGGTCCATAATTCAATTCATTCCATACTCATTGAATGCCTCTACTATGCACCAAGCATTCATTGTAAAACATACTGAAAGGGATAAACAGAAATAAATAGGGTACCACTATCTCCATTTTCTTCCCAATAATCCCTTTCACCAACTTGCTGAAACGTCCTGAGATTTTCCAGTGGACCCCTGAGACACAACATATTTGATCAGTCAACTAACATTTATAAAGCACTTACTAAGTGCCAGCCAGGCACTATGCCAAGTGCTGAGGATACAAAGAAAGTAAAAGAAAAAGGAAGCCCTTCTCTCAAGGAGCTCAAAGTCTAATGGAGGAGACAACATGAAAATAAGGTATAAGCAAGATAAACTGTAGATAATCAGTGGAGGGGAGGTGCTAGGATTAAGGGGAATCATGAAAGACTTATTGAAGAAGGTGGGATTTTAGCAGAGACTTGAAGGGAGCCAGGGAAGCCAGAAGGAAGAGATGAGGAAGGAAAGAGTCACAGGCATGGGGACAGCTGGTGGGACCAGTTGGAGCTGGGAGATGGAGTGCTGCATTCAAGGAACAGAAAGACCAGTGTCATTTGATGCAAGAGTACATGGCTATATGGAAAAGAGTAGCTGGAAAGGTGGGGGAGGGGCACATTACTCAGGGTTTTAAAAGCCAAATAGATAATATGATGGACTGAAAGAACTTGTTTACCTTTAGTGGAAAGACCAGTGGATTTGTAATCAAAGGAGCTGGATATAATTGCTGATCTGCCGCATATCACCTGTACGATGACCTTGGGCAAGCCAGAGTAGCCTCATCTGTAAAATGATGGAATTGGACAGATGACCTCTAAGACCCACCCAGGCTCTACATCTGTGATCTTATGACTCATAGAGGACTGCTGGGGTCTACCCTCTCACAAGCCAAGCCACACAGCCCTCCTTTGTGCTTAGGGCTTTTCCCTTAAGTCTCCCACATATTGTAATAAAGAAGAACTCTGTGATATGAAAGTACTACTCACAGTGAAAGCTGATTTGAAGTATGGATATGCCATCTGAAAGGAGTGTAGCATTCTATCATCATCCATGCCTCCCACAAGAACATAGAGCATCATTTGGGTCTTGTTTTAGTTGGTTTGATTGCACCAAGTTCCAAATCGTCATGATCTATTCTGTCACAAAAATCAGAAATCAGTCTTAACAGATCAGCCAACCTGATAGGCCCTCCAGCACAACATACACTTTGTTTTCTAAATAATAATAAGAAAAGGCATTTGTAAAGTACCTACTATGTGCCAGGCTGTGTGCTAAGTGATAAGGATACAAAGAAATGCAAAATAGTTCCTGGGCCTCAAGGAACTTAAAATCTAATTTTAAACTTATTTTATTTTCAATTGACAAACATTTATTTTCTTTCACTCTTTTCTCCCCTCCAACAACTGATAAAAAACAAACAAAAGAAAAACAAAACCCTTGTAACAAATACAAATAGTCAAACAAAGCAAATCTCCATAATCACCATGTCCAAAAACATATGTTTCATTCTGCATCTTGAGTCCATCACCTATCAGGAATTGGGCAGCATGTTTCCTCACTGGTCCTCAAGAACTCTGGTTGGTCACTGCACTAATCAGAGTTCTTAAGTCTTTCAAAGTTGTTTATCTTTGTAATGTTGCTATTTTATAAATTATACTAGCTCTGCCCACTTTGCTCTGCATCAGTTCATACAAATTTTCTTGGATTTCTCTGAAACTGATTCATCATTTTTTGCAGTATAATAATATTCCATTACATTTGTATAGTATTATTTGTTCAACCTTTCCCCAATGGATGACCTCCCACCCCAGTTTACAATTCTTTACCACTACAAAAGACCTGCTATAAATAATTTTGTGCTATATACCATACACTGTGCAGCGATTCAACTTTCAGAAAACCAAGAACACCTGATCCACCAGCAGGAGGCTTAGGAGGTTTGTATCTGGGCGCTAATGCCCACCCTCCAAGATGGTATGAATTTCATGCTAGGAGGAGGGTTAGCTCTCCAAAGACCCCTGCATGTCTCTTTTGTCAACTGGTAGTCAGCAGCACATGCCTCTACAGCCCTCTAGCATTTTAAATAGTGAGTTGAGGAGACAAACATGGCAATAGTTTCTAGTCCTGATGACCTCCTATTACCCTGTCACCAGAAACACCAGGGAGGATTTAGGAAGACAGCAGATAGAGAAGCGGCAGTGGCAATTAGCTACACTGAATTCCTAGATACTGGCAGTACCATTTACCCACTTGATGGTCTCTTTCGAAGGTTCAAGTAGAAACAGTATCTAACTCATCACAAAAATAGTTGAAAAGTCCTTTTTTGAGGTTTTAGTCTCTGCAAATGCACTTGGGACCTGTTGTCAGTCATTTACTAGTCAGTGTGAATGAGTTTAGACCCTTTGTATGGGGGATATGATTGACTAAGGAATATTATAAAATATTGACTAAGTAATATTATGAAGGGAGGAAAAGAAAGTTCTAATGGATCAGCTGAATCTATATTCAGCTATTTCATAGTTTTGCCTGGGGCTAGCCACCTGAAGCTTCCATGATGTTTGAGAACAATAGTTCATGAATCCTGAGTTCTCCCATAACCTCTCAAATTAGAGCCAAACATTTTCTCTCATCTTGTCTTCCCAGTTTTCTTAGCCTGGTTTCCTTTCCCCAAAGGTATTATACATCAGATTTCTTAGCCTATTTTAGAGAATAGCTAAAATTAGTACAAACAATAACCATCAATTCTGACACATCCCATATTCAGGGCAAAGAGACATCTCTGTCCACAAAACTGCTACTAGGGTTGTGCAAAGTGCAACTTGGTGAATTAAACGATGGTACTTAGGTTAGAAAGACTTCTGTTCAAATCCTACATCTGACATTTACTAGCTATGTGACTATGGACATTTTACTTCGAAGTCTCATCTGTAAAATGGAAATGATAATATCTGTAGTGCCTATTCTTGAAGTGGTTCAGAATTTCAAAAAAGATAATGTACATAAAGCGTTTAGAAAACATTAACAATCCTATATAAATACCAGTTGCTATTATATCTTTCCAGATAGGTCACTGTGTCCATTTGTTCAGTTCAAGGTAGGGAAAAATAGTATTGCTTACCATCCAGTTCCGCCACTATATGGGCGATAATATAGTGTAGTGGAGGTAACAATCATCTGGGAATTAGGAGAACTGGGTTCTGGTCTAGTTTGGGTCACTCATTAGCTGTGTGATCAGAGGCAAATAATTTAATCTTTCTGGTCCCCAATTATGATTCTCTAGCTTATGATCATCCCAGGGATGACCCAAAGGAGGGCAGCCTTCATGGTGAAGGGCCATATGAAGATCAGTTGAAAGGACGGGGATGTCTAACTAGGAGAAGGGAAGCCTTGGACCAACATGATGGCTGTCTTCCAAGAATCTAAAGGACTATCATGAGGTCAGTCAGATGGTGAAATGGCTAGAGTATGAGGTTTGGAGTCAGGAAGACTCACCTTCTTGGGTTTAAATCTGGTCTCAGACACTTACCTAGCTATGTGACTGAACAAGTCACTGAATCCTGTTTGCCACAGTTTCCTCATCTACAAAATGAGCTGGAGAAGGAAACGGCAAACCACTCTGGTGTCTTTGCCAAGAAAACCTCAAATGGGGCCACAAAGAGTTGGACATGACTGAAACAACTGAACAACAAAAGAAGAAGGGGCCCCTAGAAGTGGGATGTATAGATCTCTTTCCCTGCTCATCTTTAAGTTAAAACCGGATGACCACCTGTTAGGAATGTTATAGAAGGGTTTCATGCTCAGTTATGGTTGGACCAAACTATTTGGGCTTATGTGGTTTTGAGCTCTTCTAATTCAGTTTCCTCATCAATACCACCCCAAAATTACTCTGAAATTATGTTGTATTTATAGGCATACCTCATTTTTGTTTTATTGTGCTTCACAGATATTGTATTTTTTACAAATTGAAGATTTGTGGCAACCCCATGATGAGCAAGTCTATCAGCACTGGTTTTTAAATAATATTTTATTCATTTCCCCAATTATATGTAAAGACAATTTTAAACATTCATTTTCAAAAATTTTGAATTCCAAATTCTTCCTATCCTCCCTTTCCCCTTGCTGAGGCAAGCAGTTTGATATAGGTTATAAATGTGTAATCATGCAAAGCATATTTCCATATTAGTCATGTTATAAAAGAAGATACAAACCAAAAACAAAAAAAAATACACACACAAAAATAAAGAAAGTGAAAAATAGTATGCTTTGATCTGCATTCAGACTCCATTAGTTCTTTCTCTGGAGGTAGATAGCATTTTTCATCATGAGTCCCTTGGAATTTTCTTGGATCATTGTATTCCTGAGTGTAGCTAAGTCATTCACCGTTGATCATTGTGCAATATTTTTGTTACTGTGTACACTGTTCTGGTTCTGCTCCTTCATTTTGCATCAGTTCACGTAAATCTTTCCAGGTTTTTCTGAAATCATCCATTTCTTATTGCACAATAGTATTCTATCAAAATCATCTACCACGACTTGTTTAGTCATTCTCCAATTTCAGGCAACCCCTCAATTTCCAATCCTTTGCCACACCAAAAAGAGCTTCTATAAATATTTTTGTACAAATAGGTCCTTTTTTTGATCTCTTTGGGATACAGACCTAGTGGTGGTATTTATTAGCACCATTATTTCCAACAGTATGTGCTCATCCCATGTCTCTGTGTCACATTTTGGTAATTCTCACAATATTTCAAACTACATTATTATTACATGTATTATGGTGATCTCAGATCTGGAATCTTGGATGTTATTGTTGTCATAGTTTTGAGGCACTACAAATTACATCCATACAAGACAGCAAACTTAATCAATAAATGTTATGTGTATTCTGACTACTGCACCCACCAGCCAATCCCCTTCTCTCTCCCTTTCCTTAGGCCTTCCTATTCCTTGAGATACAATATTGAAATTAGGCCAATTAATGATCCTACAATGGCCTCTAAGTGTTCGAGTGAAAGGAAGAGTCAATTGATGTGGCAAACTTCATTGTTCTCTTGTTTTAAGAAATTGCCATAGCCAACCCAACCTTCAGCAACCACCATCCCGATCAATCAGCAAGCCATCAACATCAAGGCATGACTCTCCACAGCAAAAAGATTACAATTCACTGAAGGCTCAGATGATGGCTAGCATCTTTTTTTTTTTAGCAACAAAGTATTTTTAATTAAGGTATATACATCGATTTTTTATATAATACTATTGCACACACAGTGTAAACATAATTTTTATATGCACTGGGAAATAAAAAACTTTATGTGACTCGCTTTATTGCGTTATTTGATTTATCATGGGGGTCTGGAACAGAACCTGCAATATCTCCATGGTATGCCTATTATAAACCCCCAGTAGAATATAAGATTGTGGAGGGCAAGGACTGTTTCATCTTTATCTTAATATCCTTGACATCTAGCAAAGGACCTAGCACATAGTAGATGCTTAATAAATATTGATTTTTTTTTAAAGGCAATCAAAGTCAAGTGATTTGCCCAGGTTCACACAGCTAGTAAGTGTCCTAGGCCAGATTTGAACTTAGGTCCTCCTGACTCTGGGGCCAATGTTCTATTCACTGAGCCACCTAGCTGCTCCCCCCCCCATATTTATTGAATTTAATAAAATTGAATTGAATATAGTAAATATAGATAATAATTGCTTAACCTACCTCATGAGGTTATTGTCAGGATCCCATGAACTCATAGCTGTGAAGATGCTTTGAAAAGAAGTACAGGCCTTTCAAATGTGGTAAAATTGCCGTGAGATATCACATCTACTGAAACTCTCCAAATCTGTCACGCCAAAAAAAGACAGATGTCTTTCTTAGAGCCAGGATGAGTTAGTTTCCTCATTTCCCTCTGATGACGCATCTGGTCAATGCCAACCATACACTGGGCTGTGCCCCTAGCAGCATATTGGATGCCCATCCCTGACCTGAGGACTTAAATGATGCCAAAGCCATGAGACGAGCCAAGGCAGTTCACAAAATATCAGAATGACACAGGACAATCCCATCCTGTTGTGGTGGAGCTCTGGTCATGAGTAATGCCAATGGGACACTTGCCAAACAGAGCTGTGGCTCTCTGTAAGATGATTTCCTTGACACTGAGCTCTGGACCTGCCTTTCTCTGGGGATGGAAGTGAGCCCTCAGAAGGAAGACAGGAAGGAGTGGCGGTCCTCTCACAACCTACCTAGCACCAAACCCCCAACCCTTAACCTAATGGGAACCATACTAATCATAATACCCTGGAACTGTAGAGCACTTTCAAGTTTCCAATATACTTTTGTGGCTACTATCTTTTTTAATCCTCATGACACCCTTCTGAGGTATTGTGTCAGCTAGATGACATAGTAGATAGAGTGCTAGGCTTGGAATCAGGAAGACCTGAGTTCAAATCCTGCCTGAGATACTTATTTGCTGTGTGCCCTGGGCAAGTCCTTTTGACCTCAGTTTCCTCATCTGTAAAAGGATAACGTCAGCCTCAATGGCTTCCCAGGTCCCTTCCAGCTCTAAATCTAGGATTCTCTGAGGTAGGTAAGGTAGCTATTGTTGTCCCCACTTTATAGATAAAGAAATTGAGGCCCAGAGAGATATGTATTCATAATCACGCAACTAGTAGGGGAACAGAGCCAGGCCTCCTGACTCACTGCCTGGTTTGCTTTTCAATGCAGTAGGCATGCCATGCCCTGGTACTTTCTCCATGTCCCATCAGGGGCATGAGAAGTGCAGCTGAGTCAGCCCTCAAAGCCCGAGGACTTAAGGGAACAAAAGACAGAAACCAGATGCACTAGAGACAAACAGACACATCGTTTCTGCATCTGCGATGGTGAGTCACTTGAAAGTTTAATTTGCTTTTGCATATTTATTTATAGTAGCTGCGCAGGTCCCAACACACCCCGTCATCTTGTCTGATTTCCTTGGCAGCCTGTTGCCTCTGGGGATGAAGACCACAGAAGAAAATGCCAACTTTCTACATTCTTTGTCCTGGATCTGCTCCACCTTGGCACACATCCATAAGCAATGTTTGCAAGAGGGGCATCTCTGAGGCTCACAGATTTGTGTACCTTTCAGAGTATATGAAGGAAAATACTCTTTTGTGTAAAGCAAAAGGAGTTTGGTGTCACCATCAAATACCATAAAATCTCGAGTGTTCTGATGACCTTTGTAATGGAGAGAGGAAATAGGATGCCAAGAGGCAGGGGAGAAGAATCCGAATAAATGAATAGTCTGAAGTGAAGGGATATTTGGGAAGAAATGGGTCAGACCTATTCCAAACAATGATGTAGGCAAAGTTTACCTGTGATACCTTCTGCTTTTTCCACATCCTGTTTTCATCTTTGAGTTTTACCATTTTTCTTACACCATCCCCCCAGGGGCCCCGTACCCTCATCTTCCCTGAACTTTAAACTTCTTCTCAGGAAAGGATCTGATAAGTTCATTCAAGGTCACATAGGGTAATCAAAGATGGTCAGAGTAGAACATTTGATATCAGTGACCCAAGCTCAGACAAGCTTTTAGATCAATCTGTTTCCAGATCACCACCCCTACCACCACCACACCCCCATGAAGTATAAACTCATCCAGTAGAATGTAAGCTCTGTGAGGGCAGGAGCTGTCTTCATTTTTATCTTTTGTCTTTGTACCCCATCATCTAGCAAAATGCCTTGGCAACAGCAGGTCCTTAAAAATGTTTATTGTGGATGGTCAGTAATAATGAGATAAATCTCCTCTTCCTACTCCTATCCCAAGGATCCTGTGGCTTTGGAGTTTCAAAGCCAGATCTATCTACATGATCTCCAGCCCTATATGTATGGAATGGTGCCAAGACTGTGCAATCCATTCAAGATTCACTCCAAGAAAAGTGAAGAGACTGACTTTCCAATACAGAAATGTATGTAATTCTTTACTTTTGCACTGACTTGAACTGAGTGTTTGGCTCAGTCTCTGCACCTTGAAATCCCAGACTAAACTGGGAGATATAACGCATAAAGTCTAAACTATTACCCTGTCCTAAGAGAATTTGCATTTTCAAAGATGATAAAGCCACAAAGGAATCATCTATAAGGATGGGCATTCAGACATCAGCCAGCAAATGGGGTGCATGTTTTTGGAAGTGTGTTTTCAGGGCCCATTATGCAGGCAGCTACCTTCTCCGTGCACGAAGTCAACTGTGCTTACTACTGCCTTTGAGCAAATACTTGTACCAAATGAAACACTAGTCTCTCTTAAAGATTGTTTTGATGCCTTGAATTGGTTCTGGCTTTTTATTTTAGTTCTAAAATATAGGGAGGTCTGATTCTAATTAGGGCTGATATACTTTTTGTGTGTTTATGTGATTCAGTTTTTAAAAATTGGGGTTCACACTTCTATGAATTTTATCATCCAGGCAGGATTTTGGTTCTTGTTTAATGGGAACTAAGCCCCTGTAGGTAGGTTAGGGACTCACTCCAATTTTTATTAAAGGTTTTGTTTCTACTTCACAATTCTTTCAACCCAAACCTTTAAACATCAAATCCTCTATTTTTATTCTATTCAACAAGTGTTTTCACAAATATAATTTCATTTTCTCCTCCCAACAACCCCGCAAGGTAGGTGCTATTATTATCCTCTTCTTACAGATGAGAAAACTGAGGCAGAAATGAAGTGACTTGCTCAGCTATATGATTAGCTCATATAGCTAATAAGTATCTAAGGCTAGATTTGAACTCGGGTCTTCCAGACTCCAGGCCCTATGCTCTACCCATTGTACCACCTGGGTGCCTTCGACAAGCATTTTTCAACTCTTAGTGTGTGTTAAGCATTACTTTATAACACACACAACGTACAATTTAGAAAAAATTACAAAACTAATGGACATAGCAAACATATCTAATAGTATATACTATACTCTATATCTATAGAAGGGAAGTTTTTTTCTATTTTCAGTTTTCTAGAACTAAGATTGGTCATTATGATTATTCTGAGTTAGAATTTGTTATTTTCATTTACATTAGTGTAGTAGTTGTATATATTATTCTCCTAGTTCTGCTTACTTCACTCTATATCCATTTATACATATTTTTCTGAATTCCTCATTTCTTATGATATAAAAATATCCCATTGCATTAATTTACCACAATTCATTCAGTCCATGAATATCCACATTGTTTCTAGACTTTTGCTACCACAGAAGAGTTGCTCTATTTTTATGTATATAGGATCTTTCTTTGCTTTTGATCTCTTTAGGATATGTGATACCATTAGTGGTTTCATTGAGTCAGAGGTTTTGAACAGTTTAGTGACTTTTATTGCATAATTCCACATTGTTTTCCAGATAGAGTTTAATCAATTCATAGTCCCATCAACTATATATTAGTGTGCTTGTCTTCCTATGCATCTCTAACATTGACCAATTACATCTTTTATTACCTTTTTCATGTGGTAGATGATTTACAATTCTAATTTGCAAAATGCTTTGCTCAAAAATGCTACCTAATTATATTTTCAATTTTGGCCCCAAAAGAGAGAGGAAAAAGTACACCTTTTTTTTTTTTAACAGAGGTAGGGGACAGTAGGTATGAAATATTGTATTTGCTGTTAGACTCAGTTAGTGTATTGGCTAGTTTCGCTCACTGATTTCTCCCCCTTCTCTTTCTTTTTTTAAAAAAATTCTTTATCACAAGGAAAGCCTCTCTAGAGAGGAAAGGGATCTATTTGGAAACCCAGAAGAAGACAACAATGTGAAAACAGCTACCAAAAAAAGCCTCAAAGAAAAATGTTAATTGGACTCAAGGCTAGTAAGAATTCCTGGAAGAGTTAAAGAAAGAGACAAGAGTGGTAGAGGAAAAATTGGGAAAAGAAATGAGAGTGATGCAAGGAAAATGTGAAAAGAAAATTAACAGGTTAGCAAAAGAGGCACACACACCAAAAAATACTGAACAAAATCACACCTTAAAGAATAGAATTAGCCAAATGGTAAAGGAGGCACAGACATCCACCAAATTCTCCTTAATGGAAGTGGAGGTACAAAAGCTCACTGAAGAAAATAATTCCTTAAAAATCAGAATTGGCCTCGGGATGGAAAATGCTGTCCACATCCAAAGAAAGAACTGTGGAAGTCGAATCACTATCACTTATTTTTACCTTCTGTTGAGTTTTGTTTCATCTTTCTGATGGTTCCTCCTAATGGTTTTAATTTTTACTTACAACTTCACTAATGTGAAAATATGTTTAATGGGTATGTAAATGTAAAGCCTATATCAGATTGTGCGCTGCCTTGGGGAGGGTGGGGGGGAGGAAGGGGGAGAAAAATTTTCAACTCAAAAGCCTGTGGAAGTGATTGTTAATAAATAAAAATAAATTTTTTTAAAAAAAGATCATCATAAAAAAAATTAGAATTGGGCAAGTGGGAATTAATGATTCCATGAGATTTCAAGAAACAATAGACAAAGTCAAAAAAATGAAAGAATAGAAGAAAATGAGAAATGCCTCATTGGAAAAACAACTGACCTAGAAAGTAGATGAAGGAGAGATAATGCAATAATTATTGGACTACCTGAAAGCCATGGTCAAAAAGAAAGAACCGAGATATCATATTTCAAAAAATTATCAAGGAAAACTGTCCTGGTATCTTAAATCTAGAGGGCAAACTAGAAATTGAAAGAATACACTGATTACCTCCTAAAAGAGATCCCAAAATGAAAACTCCCTGGAATATTATAGCTTAATTCCAGAGCTACCACATCAAGGAGAAAATATTGCAAGCTGCCAGAAAGAAAAAATTCAAAAATTGTGAAGCTAAAGTCAGGATC